CTTTCGCCATTTTTTTTTTTATATATAAAAAGAAATGGCACAAGTGGAGGATGAATTTAATTATTTAATTTTTTTTTAATCTTTATTTTGCTGGTTGGTTGCAACTGTGGAGGAGCATGTTAGCATGGCATGCGTTCATGGAAGAATGGAGGGTTTTTTTTTTATGTACAAAAAGCGTGCGTGGATATATATAGGTCGCATGTGGTGCAAGGTGAAATTTTGGTTCCACAATTTTGCCCCACTTTTTTATGGGAAGATTTTTTTTTCTCACCTATTAATTTTAGCACAAACAATGCATGAGTTTGTGATATAAATAAATAATATGAAAAAATTGTTAAATATATTTAATTATTTATTTTGTTTTATCTATATATATTATTTATAGTTTACGGACTTTCATACTTTTATTACAAGGGTAGAGAATAATAATCAATTAAAATACTCATATTTTTAAGTTGTAAGATTATATGTTGTGACTATCTTGATTTTATTTTTATTAAAATAATTAATACAGTGACTGTTGACCAAGGAATTTGATCAACCACTTACACCGAATTAGTGCTAATATTATAATGATTTAGCTATTTTAAATTAGGATAAAATTTTAAAAAGTCAAAATATAAAGGAAATACGAGATCAATCTTGGGTTTTTGAGCTCCAATGCTCGTATTTAATACAATATTAATTGAGAGAATAATGTCTTAATTAAGTGCACAAAATTTTTTGAATTCTTTTACAAGTGATTCATAGGACTATTTATAGTAAGGGTGGTCCGGCTACTGTTCACCAGGCAGTACATCAAGCATTAAATAGAAAAGAAACACATTTAATGCGACATGTGACCCTATAAGGCTATGGCACGTAAGCTAGCAGGCTTTTAGAGGGCGTGTCCTGTCTTTCATCATTTGGCTACAAGTTGTCATTATTTTAATATTTTTCGCCACCTCTGCGTTTGACTCGGGTCTTCGATATTAACTTTAGGCTCATTTTATCTAAGTCTTGAGCTCGGTTCCGCTGGCTTTGATAATTTCCTAGTCGACCTTACACTTAAATTTATCCGACCTGGATGTCCTACTTGATTCTTGTTTGGTAACCGGCTGTTCTAATTCCCAGGTTCAGTTTTTACTCTTTAAACCCCTGACCCGATTATTCAACTCGGCTCTTTCTTCATTATTTATGAGTTTTTTCTTTAAAATATGCAGTTATTAGGCGAATCATCAAATCCATTGGCAAATTATGTTTGTAAAGTTTATTTTTGGTAAATCCGTACTCTAGAATTTAAATGCAAAGGATGTACCAATTCAATTCGCAGAACAAATTATATTTATAGGATTTATTTTACAATGCATCGAAACTGTCATCCTCAGAACCATTATTTTATTCTTTTTAACTAAAAATGTGATTACTAGACGAAGCATCAGACGCATAATAATCCCATATTAATTAATTAAATTTTATTCTTGGTAAATTCGTACTCTGCGATTATTACTCGACAGCTATTCTAACGTTGTTTGACGCGTAGTTGTTATTTA